ACCAGGACACACGCACACACATGGACACACAGGCACACACGCACACACGGACGCACACGCACACGCACACGCACACGCACACGCACACGCATACGCATATACGCACCACACTACAAACTCGCCCGCACGCACACAGTACACACAGTCGCAAAGACAATTGTATATATGCCGCAGAGTCTAGTGTTGGCGGTTTGGTTGTTAACATATTATATATGGAATATACTTTCATTTATCACTGAGGATAGTCACTGTCTTAATTCAATTCCCTGGAAAGAAAGAATAGCTCGAATCTTAACATAGGACTCTGATGATATTGGGAAGGGTTACAATAAACTCAAACTAGTAAATGTTATGTTGACGGGTATGTACGCACAGGTTCGTATAGCTACAACTAAATTCGATTCTTTAAAAAAATACTGCTACCCACTCACTATTAGTGCAAGGACAACTGTTCAGGTAGCCAGACCGTCGTGGGTTGTTGACGTACACTATATTTGCATATTTGCACAACAAATTTGCATCATTTTTACTCTACTCATGTCCTAACTGGTATTAATAGCGTTAATATTCTAATCCTAGCTCTACCGATTGCATTTAAATATAACAATAATGAGCTATATAGTTTTATAACAGGCATACTTTACCACCCGGCGATACGTACGTAGGCCTGTAACACCGAATCAGTGACTGCACGAGATTGCCACTGCTTATGGTACGCATACTTGACGCCTGCCAGCGTGATTTTTTTTCCTATGTCAATCAAGAACATAGGGCTGTAGTGAGCGCTGCTATTGGTTGAGCTTGTCTCGTCACTCAATGACTTCACAGTATTGCCATATACATAGCACATTCAAAATTATACATTTATTTATGATTCAATAGGATAGCGGTTAGAGCGCCAGCGTCGCAAATATTTACATCATTTATTTACAACATTTTAATTACAACAATTAATTTTTACAACAATTAAAAATTAAATTTTGTATATATATTTTTAAATAGGATTTGGGTTAGGGTTAGAGTTAGGGTTAGGGTTAGGATTAAGGTTAGGGTTAGGGTTAGGGTTAGGGTTAGGATTAGGGTTAGGGTTAGGATTAGGGTTAGGGTTAGGATTAGGGTTAGGGTTAGGGTTAGGGTTAGGGTTAGGGTCACAATGCAGTGAATGCACCATAAAACAGGAGTTTGAGGCACGTGATTTGTATCAACCAATGGCAGCGCTCGCTAGAGCCCTATGTTCTTGATTGACCTAAGAAAAAAATACACGCCGCCTGCCAGCCATCGTGATTTTTTAGGCTCTAGTGAGCGCTGCCATTGGTTGATACAAATCACGTGCCTCAAACTCTTGTTTTATGGTGAATTGTGACCCTAACCCTAACCCTAACCTTAACCCTATTAAAAAAATATATAATTAAGTTTTTAATTGTAAAAATTAATTGTTGTTATTAAATTGTTGTAAATAAATTATGTAAATATTTGCGTTAAAAAAGTTAAATGGATAAAGATAGAAAAATACAGAAACCAGGAAAATAATTAATACACAGATGGGATTCGATCCAACGACCTTTCCGCGTTCGGCTATTCAGGATTATTGGAATTATGGATTATGGATGTGCTATGAATAAGACGACACTGTGACGTCATTGAGCGACGAAACAAGCTCAACCAATGGCAGCGCTCACTATGTCCTTGATTATCCTAGGGGAAAAAATCACGCTGCCAGCCATCGTTAGTGCGTGACGCTTACCACCAGCGCCGCTGTGTAATAGGTGCATTAAAGGAAGCGTGGCCTATTTCCATATGTGGTCGGTCTTCCAATAGAAATAGATATCAATAATAGATATCCTATATACACTAAATAGATTAGCTCCTATCATTGCCCCCGCAATGACACTGGGCTTGCAGTGTTTATAAGGCGCTCTAGGGAGAAAACCTCCCGTCGACAGCTGTGTATATATAGAATATATATATATATATGTATATCTATACTATAATTTGGCTAATCTTGTGTGTGTGTGTGTGTGTGTGTGTGTGTGTGTGTGTGTGTGTGTGTTTGTTTGTCCTCGCTTTTCGCCCTGATTTGTCACTCAATCGCGCTAACTGAAGATATATTCAGAATCACCACGTCTGGGAGATGGTTCTGGCTGAGACAAAAATTTAAAAAACTTTAACTTTTTGAGTCTTTAGTATGTACTTCTGCCACTTCAGCGTTAATTTGAAAAAAATTTTTTTACTACATTC